TTGGTTTTAAAATTCATAAGCCTGTGCCAGGAGAGTAATTAGCAGCCCAGATAAGAGGCCACCTATGGCAGCTGCATGTCTGCAATCATGTATATGTGAGAGCACCATAAATTTGATTAGACAGTTAGAGATAGTTAGTAGGCCATATCTCACTTTTGGAAGATAGGAAATTAAAAGGTAAATTTAACAGGAAAGAGTGTGGTTTTTAGTTCCCTGTTGCCATCAACATTTTAGAGAATAATGCTCAGAGATTCCAGTGAAGCAGGGAGAGAGTTTAATAAAAAGGATTTAAGGAACATCCACCGATAAGGGTGCATGTTATTCTATTCCACTCCACTCTTAGTTAAAAGTGCTTCTTCTTGATGTGTTGCTAGTATCTTCATGTGATATAGACAAGACTCAGAAGCCTACAGACATAGAATTCTATAGAGAACATTTTTAAATGAATATACTAATATAAGAAACAGGAACTTTAAGTACTGTTGGAAATTCTCTGAGGAAAGGAAATCTGCAGACAGTAGTATTTGAGGAGGTTCTGAGAGGTAGAGCTGTATCTAGGGTACAGAGACTGTTGCTTGCTTGAGGGATCTGAGAAGGTGTCAGAGGGCAAATTCAGAATTAAAGTAAGAAGACAATCCCACCACTGGATCAAACTGGAACAGCTGGGACTAATGGCAGAATCCAGATGCAGTAAGTAGGTTTGGAAAAGAGGATGAGTAAAAGCAACTCCAGGTAATAATATTCTAAAGAACTGGGACTGCAGAGGGCAAGCAAAGTTTCATAAAGCCACAGTAACTTTTTTTTTTTTTAAATCTCTCAAAACATTGGCCATTTGAACATTTTTTACATGTACAGTTCAGCGACATTAATTACACTCACCGTGGTGTGCAACCATCACCACTATCATTTCCAAAATTTTCCATCACCCTTAACAGAAGCTCAGTGCACCCTAAACAATGGCTCCCTCTTTCCCCCTCACTCCCACTCCTGGTGACCACTAATAAACTTTGATCTCTATACATTAGCCTATTCTAGATTTTTCATATAAGTGGGATCATATATTTGTCCTTTTGTGACTGATTTATGTCATACAGCCAGTTTTCAAGGTTCATCCAAGTTAGATGAATGATACCGCACTACATGCAGCAGTGGTGGGAGGTGGGGGGGATTCTTAAAAGTGCTCCGGGAATTCTGATAGATATAGTTACTCTGGGGGCACAAGTGTAAATTAATGTGTGAGGCCCCACTGAGGAAATGGAGAATGTCAAACTTGGTCTCTGACTTTGACCTGTTTTCAAAGTAACTGGGAATACCATGCAAACACACTCAGGTTTTATTCCAAATTACAGGCTTCAGTGCTCAATGGAGGGTTTTGCCTTCGAAGGTCCTCAATAAATTTTTGGTGTTGATGACAATTTTGACTTTTTTAAAACTTCAAAATTGAGTGAGTGACAATAAGTTGTTAGAACTTCCCTTAAAAATAAATTTGGAGAAACATACTGGAATCCTGAAATGGAAAATGAACTTTTAGAAAGAGACTTAGAAATAACTTGATGATTTATGTATTGAAAGAGGCTTTGTGAATTAAAAGCAGATTTTGGAGGAGAAAGATAAGTTAATTTTCTAACTCTTTGAAGAAAATAGTTCAAAATTTCTTAAAACCAGAACTGTTTCTTGTGGTTCCCTTGATCTAATTTACATTTATCAGGGTATACTATTTATTTTGCAGTGAAACAGAGTATCATGGTGTTCAAAATAGCTGAGTTAAATACAAGTATATCATGTTCTGTTGTTCTTTGTAGAAATTTGGAGCCCAGAAAGGGCAACTCTATCTCTAGACGGTCTATTCAATATCTCTAAATAAGTAACTAACTGGCTCCCTACATTTCTACTTAGATGTCTAAAAGGTCTTTCAAACTTAACCTGCCCCCAAACTAACCAGCAAACTATTTGCTGTCAGCTCAGTTCCATAAGGTTTTCAATGGCTGATATTTTTGGAAGTAGCTTGCCAGGACTTTGTTCTAATGTGCCTGCCTCTATGTGGACTGAAACCTCCAACCTTTGGGTTAGCTTGTTGTTGTTGTTATGTGCCGTCGAGTCAGACCGACTCATAGCGACCCCTCTTTGGGTTTCCGAGGCAGTATCACTACGGAAGTAGATTGCTGCCATCTTCCTTCCGAGGAGTGGCTGGTGGGTTTGAACCGCCAGCCTTCTGGTTAGCAGTCAAGTGCCTTAGGCACTACTCTACCAGAGCTCCTTTTGGGTTAGCAGCAGAACATATTATCCATTTATATTACCCAAGGACTCCGCAAGCATCTCTCACCAAAGCTAAAGTAATAACTTCCTAAGTAGTATCCCTGCTTGTGTGCTTGCCCTCTACAGCGTATTGTCAACACAACAGCTAGAGTGATCCTTTTCAAAGAGATCAGCGTTTCAGTCTGACAAAGAGAAACAGCAGATGTTCTGTCTATGGGCTGAGAATGCAGGGGAGTTCGTTAATAGGAAAGAGAAGTTTTAGAGAGCAAAGAGAAAAGGTTTGGAAGTAGCAATAGGAATGGAACTGCTGCATTTTTTAAAAAGAGAGTTAAGTTTTATTGAGACTGTTATTTCCTGAACTTGCCCACACAACCTTTATTTGCTCAGTGTCTATTAACCTCTTACAGAAATAGTGCTATGTGGGTTACAGTTTGGGAAACACTGGCAGAGTACTCAAGGATAGCAGGATGTGAAGCACTCTGCAAAGGAAATGGTGCCAAGTCAAGGCACACTCAACTTGTAATGGTATCTGGAAGGCAGTTATTCTGGTTACCTGGAGCCGCTCTGACAAGAAATATACCACAAATGGGATAGCTTTAACAAACAGGAGTTTATTCTTACAGTTTGGAGGCTTTAAGGACAAGTTCAAAGTGCCAGGCTCTAGGGGCTGGGTGAAGCTGGACATGATTATTACATAACTCCCCCCCCCACTACCTTTATTTAAGATTTTTTTTCATTCAGGTTTTTAATCTAATATTAAATACCCAAATGTGTTGGAGCTAATTATGAATTTTTAATGACAAATTTTTACTTACAACTTTCAGTCCCTATATAATTTCTCTCTGATAATTTTAATGGAAAAGGTCTAGACAAAGAGAACAAAAAAAGAAGATATTTTATATTTCTTATTATTGGAATAGTTCTTCTAACTATTGGAAATAAATACAATAAAGAAAAAATAGTAATAAATACAATAAAGAAGAAATAGTAGAGAAGATTTGGGAAGTATATTGGTAATACATTCATTCAAAATGGTGTTTTTTCTTTAAAATAAAATTCTAAAAAATTAATTAAAATGATAAAGCTATGCATGTCTTAACAAAACATGTTATTACTATTAGGAAATTGCCATTGAAATTTTAAAAATTAGCTCATATATTCCAATAAGTATGATTTTGTATATAGAATATAATATGTGAACATTACTATATAATATATATACAGAGATATGCAGAACTTAATATTATCAAAATAAATATACAAATGTAATTTACAATTTTTATAATTTATAATTTTATAATTTACAATTTTTATAATTTTTAAAGATAAAAAGATGTTCATGTATATCTGAATTTATAAAAATCAAATACACTTTATTATTCCAATGTGGTATATAAAAGCAAAGATATAAAGTAGTTGTATATTTTGAACCTGTATAGTGATGAATGAGAGCTCTAGTAGCATAGTGCCTAAAGCACTTGACTGCTAACCAGGAGGCTGGCGGTTCAAACCCACCAGCCACTCCTCAGAAGGAAGGTTGGGCAATCCTACTTCCGTAGTGATAACTGCCTCGGAAACCCAAGGAGGGGTCGCTAGGAATCGGGGCCGACTCGACGGCACATAACAACAACAACAACATAGTGATGAATAGTAGTACTTCAATTAATTTTTTTTATTCTAATGTATTTTATTATGCATATATTAGTACTTACTTATAAGAATACCTGCTGTTAGCTAAATACAGGAAGAAAAGAAAAGACATTGGTAAGAACTTCCAGTCTGGCTTGTTTGATATATATACACCATCCTCCAAGGTTAGCAGAGCTGTCTTTTATTCTGCTATTCTTAGGGCAAAGTTCACAACATTTATTGCTGAGTTCCTCCTCCCTCTATTATGTGATTTTAGAGGGTAATATAAGCCAAGACTACTTGAACTAGACATTGTTAATCTAGATTTCTGATTATAAAGATGAGACACAGAGGCTCAGCAATCTGTTGTTGAAAATTACTTGCACAGTCTTCCATTCTTGAAGAAGAGCACATTTTTACAATAATCATTGGCAGTTACAATAGTAATCTCCATTTCCACTATTGAGCTTTATTTTGACATGTTGTTGTTATGTGCCGTCAAGTTGGACCCAACTCGTAGCCGACCCCTCTTTGGGTTTCCGAAGCAGTATCACTATGGAAGTAGATTGCCCCATCTTCCTTCTGAGGAGTGGCTGGTGGGTTTGAACCACCAGCCTTCTGGTTAGTAGTCAAGTGCCTTAGGCACTATGACATAGAGGCCTTTAAACTAGGTTGTCTGAGTAAGTGACTTGGAGAATTCAGTTTGACAAATGCCTGTATAATCATGAAAACCCTTTCATGTCCCCTGGTCCTAGAATTAAGGTGATCATGCTGTTAGGCCATTGCTTTCCTTCTGTCCAGTTCTCCATTGTAGTTTCAGTAAAAAAAAATTGCTTCTAATCTTTTCTCCACTCAGACATAGAACACAAGCACATTTTACCTAGAACAATTTTCCTATATACACAGGAGGAAAGATAGAATACTTTTACTTATAGGTTAGTAAAACAGAAAAATACTATTTTGAAATGGCTTTGGTGAATGTTTATTTCAACTTTGAAGAAGCATGTCTGATTTTTAGAGTCTAGAAGTTCATAGTCCCATCACTGGTATTTTGTAGTTCATATTGTATAATTCAGCATTGTCAGAGGCTTCAATGATCATTTTTAATTATTTAGGCTTCAAGGAGACAACTTGGCAGAAAGGACAGAAGAGACGTCACAGATACTTTATTCTCCAGATGAAATAATCCCAGATTCTTTGGGTAAGTTTTAAATCCAGAAATACTCATTGTAGTTTTAGTGGCACTTGAAGGTTAAATAAAAAACAAAAATGAAACTGAACTACAAATCTTCTCCTGCCTCAAATCAACTGTAGCTGCCAGTTACATGTCTACCCCCAGCACACTTCTTCGGGCTGTATGTGTTATGAGGTTAAGATCAGTGGGGAAAAGCAAGCAAGAAGAGTGCAGGTCAAGGAGAAGCTTCTTATTGCCTGCACCTGCCTAAAGTACAAACAGATCAACCATTTGATGGTTATGCCCAAAATGTTACTAATTCCAACTTGTTGTTAGAGCTCCACATGAACTGCTGGCTCTCCATAAATTGCAACTTGAGACCTGCTATATCCCTAATTTTCATTCTCACATCATAGGTTCCATTTAGTCTTCCCTGCCAGAAGTGTCAATATCATACTTTATTTTACTCCTTCTTTTTCATCCCTGAAGTCCCTGGATAGGGAAAATGGTTAAGCACTTGGCAACTAACTGAAAGGTTGGTGATTCAAATACACCAGGAGGCACCTAAAAAGATAGGCCTGGTGATCAGTTCTGAAAAATCACAGCCATTGAAAACCCCATGGTGAGCAGTTCTACTCTGAAGCACATGGAGTGGCCACAAGTCGATACAGGGTCACCATGAGTTGGAATTGACTTGCTAGCAATTCTTCTTGTGTATATGTTTGTTTTCTTTTTCTCTCTTACCCTATACTAAATTGGTCATAAAATCTAATCAATGTCACTTTCAAACTCCAGTCTAGCTTCCTCATCATCCTCCTTGCCACTTCCTCCATCCAGGCAGCTCTCCTCTTCCTCTGTCTAGTATAGCATCCCTCTAAGTAGTATCTCCCTGCACTATTATATTTCTCTGTCTAAAATTAAAACTTCTCATTTCATCCTCATTTTCTACAGATAAAATTCAAACCCCTTAACTTAGTATATGAAGTTCATGTCAGATCACTCCAAAATTTTGCTAAATAAATAAACAAATGATTACTGTATATAAAACACATCACCTGGTTCACTAGTCAGTGTTCTGGCAGGAAGCAGTTGGCACATCCAGTCAGGATAATTGGAAGAGAAACTATAGTAAATGTTTCCTTTTATTCTGGATCTAGAAGGACATCTTAAATAAGATACAATCATACCGAGCCATAAAACAAATAATTGAGAAATTCAACTATTGAAAATTGTCAATAGATGCCAAAAATGTTAATAAAGAAAACAAAAAATGTGAGAACTTATTTGGAACAGATAACACTGACCAAAGATTAATATTGAAAATATATAAAGAATACATACAATTTAATAAAGAAAAGAAAAACAACCAGTAGAAAAATACACACAAGAGATGAATAGACATTTATTTCACAGGAGATGAAACAAAGTTGGCCAATGAGCATATGAAAAATGCATAATTACACTAGTAATCCGAGAAAAGCAAATTAAGACCACAGTGAGATGCTATCTTACCACAATCTGTTGGTCAGTAATTAAGGAAAGTGGCAAAACTAAGAGCTGGTGAAGATATAGATCAAACGGAACTCATATACTACTGAAATTCACCAAACTCACCTGGCACTGATCAATTCTGACTCATTAGAGACCCCCATTGGGTTTCCAAAGCTGTAAATTAGATTGCCTCATCTTCCTCCCGAGGAGCAGCTGATGGATTTAAATGACTGATCTTCTTGGTTAGCAGCCAAATGCCTTACCCAGTAGCCACCAGGGCTCACTTCATATATTACTCTAAAACACTCACTGCAGGCGAGTTGGTTCCGACTCAATAGCAACCTCTCCTTGGGTTTCCGAAGCAGTGTCTCCACAGAAGTAGATTGCACAGTTTTCTTTCTAAGTCATAAATTACTAGTGAAATATAAATAATTTTGGAACATAATTTTCCATTATTGGAAGATGTTGAACATTTATATAGCATTGCTGTTGTTTTTTAGGTGTCATTGAGTCAGTTCTGACACATAGAGACCTTATGTGCAACAGAATAAAACACTGCCTATTCATGTACCATTCTTACAATTGTTATGCTTGTTCCCATTGTTACAGTCTTTGTGTTAAATCATGTCACTGAGGGTCTTCCTCCTTTTCACTCACTCTACTTTACCAAATGTGATATCCTGCTCTAGGGACTGGTCCTTCCTGGTAACATAGAAATTCTACTCCTAAAGATCATAGAGAAACAAGTCCAATGTACTAGGTAGAGAATGTGAGCAGCTATGTTCATAGCTGCATTGTTAGTATACAAGATTCTGTAGGTATTCAGCAGGAAAATTTATAAATTTAGGAATTTTTACCCTGTTGGAAGTTGAATGTGTTTTAACAACACATATAGGATAGATGAAACCAGTAGTATACTACTAAATGTTTAACAATATGTTCTCTGAAAAAGAAATCCCCTGATTTCTAGGGATTGATGATTTCCATGGTGCAAATACTCCCACCATTGTTGCTGATCCAAGTAACCACTCTGACATCACTCACCACAGATAAGATATCTCACAACTGACATGGGCAGATTCCAGCTTATGAGTCTTAAAAATGTATCATTGATTGAATAGATGCCAGTCATAAAAAGCCATTTTTTTAATCAAATTTAAAAAGAAACAAATCTAAATAATATATTCTTTGGGAAAACATATATAAATGATAAGGAAAATAGAATGAAAGCACAGATAGTTGTTTATCTTCAAGGGATTTGTAGACATAGGGAGATGGAAGAGGAAAGGAGCCCACAGGTATATGAAAATTATCAGAAATGCACTAATTCTTAAATTAGGTGGTGAGTTTAGAATGTTGATTTTATTATTGTGCTTTGTGATTTAAATATACTATACTATATGTATATATTCTATACTATATACTATACTATATATATATATAAATATACTATATATATATATATATACATCTTTGTATGTCAAAATATAATTAATAAACATTAAAAATACAGTGGTGTGAGAACATAAAAAAGTGTCTGTTTAGTGCTATACAAAGAAATGATAATAGTTTATATATACATAAATCTATTGTATTATTGCTGACATGGTGCACTCTCAATATAAACCTTTAACATTGATAATGACATTTGAGCAATGTGCCATTAATGACATGAAGGTCCCATATCACCATTTGTTGACATTTACTTAGCTGTTGACATTTACTCGGGAGCTCTGGTGGCATAGTGCCTAAGGCATTTGACTGGTAACCAGAAGGCTGGAGGTTCAAACCCACTAGCCACTCCTTGGAAGGAAGGTTGGGCAATCTACCTCTGTAGAGATACTGCCTTGGAAACCCAAGGAGGTGTCACTATGAGTCAGATCCAACTCGACCGCAGTGAGTAGTCCTTTTACTCAGCCTACCCTCTCCTCATTGGTATTTTTGTATCTATATCCTGACATTGGCCTTTCTTTTCTGACTAGTATGTTCTTCCTTTGTATGTTTCCCCTTTGCCTAGTCAGATCCTATGCTACAAGGTCTACTGCAAGTCTCCCTGACGACCAGCCCATACCTACGCTTCCTTTTCCTCAACTCCCAATTTCTCTTGAATTGTTTTTTGGATGTTTGTTCTTTTCATCTCAATTGGATTACATGCTTCTTAAGGTTTTCCTGTGTTTCTCATGGGTCCTACCACAAAGGTAGACAAAATACAAACACAACTTAAATATTTTCCCATTAATTTTAAAAATTTTATCAGAAGTCCTCCTATCTACCCATCTACAGATATACATCATTCAGCAATCACATTTATATAGTCACTGAGAATGGTTATAATTTAAGATTCTTGGGAAATTAAGCAATATATCTGTAATATGTTGTTGATTATACTTGCTCCCATTGGAAAAATGCATTCATTATGTTTAAGCTCTTTTCCTGAAGTGTTGATGTCCTGCAGTGTTCACATTTAAATATTAGTAGATCTGATCAGATTCTAAAATAAGAATTTCTGATTTAATGCATTCCTTTCTACTTAATCAGATTACTAGTTTCAATAATTAAATATTACTGGCATTATCCAAAAGTGCTAATGTGATTTTCATGTCAACTCTGTCCTGTATAAACATAGAACTTGATTCAATGAGCATAAATACTTCTATGAATAGGTATAGTTTTATGAAAAAAAAGGTGTTCTGACATAAGCAGCAAAAGTAAACACAATGGCTGGAAGAAAATGGATGAAACTAGATTCCTGTTAGCCTTCTCAAGCAATAGAATCTAGCTTTTAGTCCAAGTATTGCCAAAAGCTGTTAGACTTTGACAGAATTATATTGTCTTTGTCAGCTTCCATTTCTTCTGTAAAATGAGGAGGCTAGATAAACTCTAATACGTGGCAAGTTTAAAGACTCATTTTCTCCCATGTGATTAAAAAAAAAAACCTCAAAGAATTAATCACTTACATTTTGAAAATCATGTACACTTATAAAAATTGCTCCGGAGTAGACAGAGCAACTTATTTTGCACACATTTGCCTACCAATTATTGTTAGTATACAATGTATTCACAACATTTTAAAACAATAAAAGATAATCAAGTATATCTCATAATAAGTTTACATAGCAGTTTAATTATCAGAGAATTACATTATGTATCTGAAAATTAATATATAACTGTAATGTATTCATTCATTTTATAAAAATAGATTCATTACCTGGAACTGAAGAAACCCTGATGGAGGAAGGTGAAGAATTTGAGAAAGCATCTAAATTAACAGGACATGTAAGTATATTCATATGTTCATTTTTTCTCTCTAAAACTAATGTATATTACTAATAGGAAAATATAGAAGGAATAGCAATATCCATACAGTATGCTTGTATCAGTAGGCGGCCAACTCATTACAGTTATACAGCAATGTTGCACTAAACATTTTCAGCAATTGAAGAACAAGGCTTGAATGAGGTGCAAAAACCTAACTTCTGGTGTTATTATGTGCTTACTTCCACATGTGAACATTCTGTAAGATTATGAGCTGCCCTTTTAGGCTTGAATAAGTTTAACTGTACATAATTTTATAGAAAATAAATATTCCGTATATCCCAGAAGTTCACATATAACTTAATCATGCTACTTTAAGCCCTTGTGATATTTTTATATCTCTTCAATAGGGTATATTGAGAGAAAACCATGTTGTTATTGTTGTTGTTATGTGCCGTGGAGTTAGACCGGACTCATGGCGACCCCTCATTGGGTTTCTGAGGCAGCATCACTACAGAAGTAGATTGCCCAACCGTCTTTCCGAGGAGTGGTTGGTGGGTTTGAACCGCCAGCCTTCTGGTTAGCAGTCAAATGCCATAGACACTATGCTACCAGAGCTCCTAGAGAAAACCATAAGGTTAAATATTTTTTAAATGTAACTTGATGTTAAAATAAGAAAAATAGAAATATGTGTGTGCATAATATAAATTCTAAATGTAAAGTTTATGAAATACACCAAGTTGCTAAAAACCTAACCCAATTGCAAATGTAATCTTGTCATTGTTGCACGCTATTGATTTCAACTCGTAATAACTCTGTTTGATGGGGTAGAACTACCCCATAGGGTTTCTTGGGCTGTAATCTTTACAGGAGCAGATCACTGTGTCTTTTCTGGCTGCTAGTGGGATTGGGAGCATAGTGGCTAAGGCACTTGACTGCTAACCAGAAGGCTGGTGGTTCAAACCCACCAGCCACTCCTCGGAAGGAAGGTTGGGAAATCCTACTTCCGTAGTGATACTGCCTCGGAAACCCAAGGAGGGGTCGCTATGAGTCAGGGCTGACTCGACGGCACATAACAACAACAGTGGGATTGAACAGAACAATAGACCTTTCCAACAGCAGCCAAATACTTAACCATTCCACTAGCAGGACTCCTTAATGCAATCTTGGGTTATCCTAAAGATAATATATGGACTGAATTCATATACCACTACAATATCTCATTAGTTAGAATATTATTTTGATCTTAGGATTTGGTTGAGGGTACCACACTTTCCAGTGGACTTAATGATTTAATTTTAAAACTATAACTTATAAAATAATATATTTTTGCTCATATGTCACTCCCTAATAGAAGCTTTCCTGAATTTATTTAAAATATTTGTTCTGTATAATACTTACCACCTTCTACTGTGCTATATTATTTATTTGTTTTATTGCCTAGCTCCTCCTTCCACTATAATATAGATCTATGAGGGCAAGAAGTTTTGTACCATTTTTTACTTATGTATCCCTTGAAAAGTGCCTACACATGTTAGGTGCGTAATAAATACATATTGAATGAAGGAAATTTGTTTGGAATAATTTCTGAAAATTAGGTGAAAAATATTGTACTGTATTTTTCTGTCTGTTGTCATGGGAATTTTCCAAGGAGGTTTAAACTTCCTCCTGAGTAGGTAGTGATAGTCTGAAAAACTTTCCCTGAGGGGTAGGCAGTGACATGAATGTCTATTCAGAACAGAAACAAAGAGAATCAGAAGAGAAAGGATCTAAAAGATAAAGAAAGCAGGTTTACAAACTTCTCTAGCTATTTAGCTTCCAGAGGCAGGGGGCCCAGGTGGATCCAAGATGACCACTAACCTCCTCCCACTTTGTTGTTTTTATGTGCCATCAAGTTGTCTCCAATTCATAGGGACCTTATGTACAACAGAATGAAATACCGTCTAGTCCTGTGCCAGCCTCACAATCCCTACTATACCTGAGCCCATCGCTGCAGCCACTGTATCAATCCATTTCATTGAGGGCCTTCCCCTCCTTTGTTGACCCTCCACTTTACCACGCATGACTTCTTTCTCCAGAGAATGGTCCCTTCTGGCAACATGATCAAAGTGGGTGAGACGAAGCCTGGCCATTCTCAATTCCAAGGAACATTCTGGCTGCACTTCTTCCAGGATAGATTTGTTAGTACCATTCCATGGTACTCTCAACACTCTTTGTCAACACCTCAACTCAAAAACATTGACTCTTCTTCGGTCTTCCTTATTCGTTGTCCAGATCTCATATGCATATGAAGTGATTAAAAATACCACACCTTGGGTTAGATGCATCTTAGTCTTCAAGGAGAAATATTTGTTCCTTGGCACTTGAAAGAGGTCTTTTGCAACAGATTTGCCCAATGTGATAAGTCTTTTGATGCCTTGACTGCTGCTTCCATTGGTGTTGATTGTAGAAGCAAATTATATGAGGTCTTTGACAACTTCAATCTTTTCTCCATCTATCATGATGCTGCTTATTGGTCCAGTTGTGAGGATTTTTATTTTATTTATACTGAGATGTAATCCATACTGTAGACTGTAGTCTTTAATTTTTGTCAGTAAGTGCTTCAAGTCATCCTCCCTTTCAGCAAGCAAAGTTGTGTCATCTGCATGTCTTAAGTTTTTAATGAGCCTTCTTCCAACCCTGATGCTATGTTCTTCTCAGTTAGTCCAGCTTCTTAGATTATTTGCTCAGCATACAGATTGAATTAGTATGGTGAAAGGATACAACCCTGATACACTCCCTTCCTGGTTTTAAACCATGCAGTATCTTCTTGTTCTGTTTGAACGACAACCTCCTGGTCTATGTACAGGTTCCTCATGAGTACAGTCCAGTGTTCTGGAATTCCCATTCTTCTCAATGTTATCCACAATTTGTTATGATCCACACAATCAAATGTCTTTGCATTGTCAATAAAACACAAGTAAACATCTTTCCAGCATTCTTTGCTTTGAGCCAAGATTCATCTGACATCAGCTATGATATCCCTCATTCCATGTCCCCTTCTGAATCCAGCTTACATTTCTGGAAGTTCTCTGTCAAAATACTGCTGCAACCATTTTTGAATTATCCTTAGTAAGATTTTACTTGTATGTGATATCAATGATACTGTTTGACAATTTCCACATTCTATGGGATCACCTTTCTTTCGAATGGGTATAAATATGGATCTCTGCCAGTCTGTTGGCCAGGTAGCTATCTTCTAATTCATGTGGCATCGCCAAATGAGTGCCTCTGGCATGACATCTGTTTGTTGAAACATCTCAATGGGTGTTTCATCAATTTCTGGAGCCTTGTTTTTTTGCCAATACCTTCAGTGTAGCTTCAACTTTTTCCTTCAATGTTTTTTGATCATGTACCACCTCCTGAAATAGGTGATCATCTACCAATTCTTTCTGGTATAGTGACTCTGTGTATTCCATCCATCTTCTTTTGATGTTTCCTGCATCATTCAACATATTGCTCATGGAATCTTTCAATTTTGCAATTTGAGGCTTAATTTTTTTCCTCAGTTCTTTCAGCTTGAGAAATGCTGAGCATGTTTTTCCCTTTTGGTTTTCTAACTCTAGGTCTTTGTGCATTTTATCATAATAATTGAATTTGTCTTCTCGAGCTGCTCTTTGAAATCTTCTCTTCAGCTCTTTTATCTTGTCGATTCTTCCATTTGCTTTAGCTACTCTACATTCAAGGGCAGGTTTCAGAGCCTTTTCTGACATACATTTTGGTCTTTTCTTCCTTTCCTGTCTTTTTAATGATCTTTTGCTTTCTTCATGGATGATGTTCTTGATATCATGCCACAATTCCTCTGGTTTTTGGTCATTGGTGTTTAATGTATGAAATCTATTCTTTAGATGCTCTCTAAATTCAGGAGAGATATAATCAGTGTCATATTTTCACTCTCAGGGACTTGTTTTAATTGTCTTCAGCTTCAACTTCAACTTGCATATGAGCAATTGATGCTTTGTTCCACATTCAGCTCCTGGCCTTGTTTTGGCTGAAGATATTGAGCTTCTCCATTGCCTCTTGCCACAGATGTTGTCACTCTGATTCCTGTGTACTCTTGTCTGGTGAAGTCCATTTGTATAATTGCTGTTTGTGTTATTGAAAAAGGTATTTGCGATAAATAAGTTGTTGGTCTTGTGAAATTCTATCATGCTATCTCCAGTGTCATTTATATCACCAAGGCCATATTTTCCAACTATGGGTGATTCTTCTTTGTTTCTAACTTTTGCATTCCAATCACCAGTGATAATTAACACATCTTAATTACATGTTCAGTCAACTTCAGACTACAGAAGTTGGTAAACATCCTCAGTTTCCTCATCTTTGGGTTTGGTGGTTGGTGCATAAATTTGAATAATAGTAGCATTAACTGGTCTTCCTCGTATGCATATGGATATTAACCTATCACTGACAGGATTGTACTTCAGGATATATCTTGACACATTCTTTGTGATGATGAATGTCACAACATTCTTCAATTTGTCATTCCCAGCATAGTAGATCATATGATTGTCTGATTTCAAATGTCCCAGACCAGTCCATTTCAGCTCACTGATGCCTAGGATATTGACCATTATGTGTTCCATTTCATTTTTGACAACTTCCAATTTTCCTAGGTTTATACTTCATATATTCTATGTTCCATTATTAATGGATGTTTGCAGCTGTTTCTTTTCATCATGAGACATGCCACATCAGCAAATGGTGATCCTGAAAGCTTTACTCTATCCATATCATTAAGGTTGGCTCCACTCTGAGGGGTGAGCTCTTTCCCAGTCATACTCTGATTGACATCTGACCTTAGGTGCTCATCCTTTGGCAGTATACTAGACAGTGTTTCAGGGCTATTAATAAAGTTTTCCAGTAATACATCAGACAGTGTTTCATTGCTATTTTTAAGGTTTTCACTGGCCAATTCTTTGAGAATGGATGGCCCCTTCCTTCTTCTGAGTCTGTCTTACTCTGGAAGCTCCACTGAAACC